GACAGATATCTAATATAGGCCTTCAATTTCCATGCACGATATTGAGGGTCTCTAGGATATTGGCATGCTGTATCTTAAGTTAGTTTCTCTGCATTTTGAGACACCTTGTTATTTGAATTTAAGATATCGTAGTTATCACCGCAGAGGTAATCTCAGTAGGTTTCTAAGAAATGCAAGTTAGTTAATGTTCATAGAGGTACTGATTAATGTCCAGATACTGCTCAGATTAGAAGCTGTTTGTAATAATGCAAAGTATTATAGTGAGTAACAAGGTAAATTTAGAAACATCAGTGATGTCTGTTTGTCTAAACCATGTCAGGTTCTCTACCTGCTTAATGATTTCAACACCGTCACCATCATCACCATCACCGTCATCATGTCATCATCATCATTGATGATGAATTACCAGGACTTACACAGTCACAGATAATATTGAGGGGCCTTTTGCATTGGACTTTTAAGTAATAAGCTTAATATATCAACTTATGAGCATGACTATTGATCATTTTTAAATGAAGTGTCCATTCCACTGAACTGACAACCCCAGCCAACTGTTCTCATATGTAAAGAAAGGGTATGATATTTTTAAAAGTCTAAATCTTGAGCTTTACCAAGGACAATGACAGTGTCATCTGCTAGAGCTCACAGCCCAACCTAAGTGTCTCAAGTGTGGGAATAGTTTCCTCTAGCTGACTTGGGAGATCTTCCCAGGAGACCCAGCACACAGGACTTTCTACAACAGGGGCATAGCCAAGTGGCTGCATGTTGACTTTTAGAGGTGGACAAGTCAAGGTAGTTCCAGGTGCTTCCATGAGAGAAAACATGTGACAATATGGAAATGCTTGCTGCCCTGACAGGAAGCAGAAATCGGCATGGAAAAGTATTTACTTAGCACTGCTGGCCAGACAAGACGCCAGAGAGCTAGAGTTGGAAGAATCAGCCTCACAGAATCCTCCTTCCCAGGCTCTCTGCTGCTGTCTATCATCTCATGAGGGCTTCACATTGCCCCAGCTTTCGTGTGTAGCGGAAGGTGATGTGGGACCACCCTGCCAATTCCATCCCAGGCTCAGTTTATAGTAGCCCTACCGACACTCCATTAGGCTTGGCCTACATTTTCCACACGTGGCCTCAGCCAATTTCCACTATCAGGAATGTTCTTTTTCATGGAGTTTTTAATCTAACAGAGGGAACAAAGACGCAAAGGAAAACCCCTGCAGTTCAAGTTCCTGAATTTGTATTGGATGAGAGAGAAGGGAACAGAGTTGATTCAGTGGAGAAATACTGAACTCACAAAATATTTGTTGACTGACTGTGTGAGTACAAGGTCTGGGATGTTGGAGTTCTCCCTGCTTCTAAGGCATGCTCCCTGCTTAGCCAAAGGGCTTCTTTCTCCAGAGTAATACTGACATGTGCTCCGAAGGAGAAACATTCTAGGTCACTAACCCACTCTTAGTTTGGCGAAATAAAGGCAAGTGAAGAGCACTGATGTGTTTATAAGTGAACCATTTGATGATTACACCATTGTTTGAAAGACTGGATGTTATATAATCAACAACCATCCCTTCCCCAAGCTTATTTTTATTTTATTATTATTTTTTTACTCCAAAATCTGGGATTTTCCACCATTTTGTCAGCCTTCCTGGAGGGCATGTTGATGATTCTTCCATTAAAACTTGTTTGGAATGTCCCAGGGCAGTGCAAACACTCTCGGGGATTTGAGATTTCTTGTCACTGGCAGAAACTGGGAGATTAGCCACAGTGAACCATCTTCTTAGGCTGGCCCAGACCCTGGGCAGCTCCCTGGCAGCATGGTTGGAAGTTGTCCTCTGTCATTCAGTGATGCTTCTGTTCATTTTGACATTCAGAGGCAACATATTGGCTCCTTTTTCTTAGAGGTCACTAATTTTCATTATTTCCCTTATATATGTTCAGGGATTTCCTTCCTTCCTTCCTTCCTTCCTTCCTTCCTTCCTTCCTTCCTTCCTTCCTTCCTTCCTTCCTTCCTCCCTTCCTTCCTTCCTTGTAGCCAAGGCTTGGAACAAGCTAGCTGAGGAACCTATGTAGTATTCTCTTCTGGAACTTAGTCATCTTACACCAATTTCTGGATGTAGTACATTGACAGTTCGGGCTTCTAAAATTCAGGGCAGTGAAGGTAGTCACTTCACAAAGTCACAGAAAAGCTAGGTGGGGAGAGATTGACCCAAGATGAGTTCAGAAGATGCTTGATGTTGGCCCTGTGTAAGTACCCATATTGGGAATAGGACCTGCAAGTGTGGGAGGGTATAACTGTGTGGGGTCTGGCAAATGGTGATACTGGTAGGTCTTTAGGATTTGATACCTCACTGTCCTTTCCCACCCACAGAAATCATAAATTGAGACTTCCTGTGCGTACTTCAGGCTTGCCTGCTTGTCTTATCAGCATTGCTACTTATGTAGTCAAAGCCACTGTCGTCTCTCAGGGGAACAAATGCTACCACTTTCTTAAAAGTGCCCCTACGTCAACTCATACTCACCTAGACTCCCCTTTGCAAAACAGCGAAGGCAGTCTCCTGGTGGACAGTGCAGTGAGGCCATTCCTCTGGTTAAACTAGAGCAGCTTTCTGTTTTCCTCAGGAGAAAGTGACCTATCTAATGCTGTTCCCACTTACCTCTTCAACCTCATGTCAAACAGCTAACCTCCCTCCCGATCGCTCTGATTCAGCATTTATTCATCTTTTATTTTTTCTTTTACGTGTTGCAAGGTTTTATTTCTTCCCTTTTCTGTAATTTTAGAAATTAAGTTTGTTCTATGAAAATTTCATATGTGTATACATATGTATGTGTGTGTATGTGTGTCTAATGTGTTTATGTGTGTATTTGTTCTGATTGTTCCTCCTCTTTATCTTCTTACTGTTCCTGTCAATTCCCCCCTCAGTTTCTTGCCTAGACATGGACTTCTGTTTTTGACCTGCTGACTCAATTAGCTTAATCAGGGCCATCTGTGTGACTTTTGGTTTCGAACTCTCCATTGGAGCTTGGTGGGGTCACCGCTGAGTACACAACTTAAACAAGGACACCCCGTATCCCTGAATCTGTCAGTTAGCTAATAGTTCACAGTGAAGGCCAGGGCTTCCTAAGCCTCTCTCACTGGGCTGTCGGGGAGCTTATTCTTGTGAAGAGCCGGTATGGGCATCCACAATGGCTGTGTGTTTGAGACTGCAATGGCTGTGCCTTTTGTAACGCTTCTCTGTGTCTTCTAGTCTAGCTCTTCCGTTGTTTCTCCTTCCTCTACTATTTTGTTCCCTGCACCTTAGAGGGGATACTGTGAAGGTCTCCTTTGGGGTTGAGCGCTTATCTGCCACGCATTCTCAGCACCTTGTGTGGCTGCGAGTCTCCTCGTTTATCACCATTACTGCAGAAGAAGCATCTGATCAAGGATGGGATTAGCGTTTGTTGATGGATGTAAACATAAATATTTCGTGGGCAGTTTGATGTTCTGCCGGTTTCCCTAAATAGTAGTATTCAGTTACTCCTGAGTTTTTTTCAAGGCTTAATGTACCGGGCATGGATTCTGTCCTGTGGAGTGGGCCTCAAAAACAGAGAGCAGTTGGCTACCCTGCAACAGTAGTGCCAGTGTTACAAGTAAGCACATCTAGTCTGCTAGTTGAACTCTTTGGAGTTTATAGGGCTCACAGCTGTGAGACCACTGCTGCCTTTTCTCCATAGCACTCTTTAGGCCTGTGAAGACCAGCTGGAGGGGACCTTCTAGCTCAGTTTCAGCTGGATTTCTTTATATCATCCAATGAAGGTATATGATAACACTGTCTCTGCTAATTAGTATAGGGCTCAAAGTCATATTAGTGCATAATAAGGAAATAAAAGGCATAGGAATAGGAAAAGGAGTCAAAGTATCCCTGTTTGCAGGCGATATGACAGTGTACATAAAGAGAAAATTCCTAACCAGCTAATTAGTGGTAGGATACAAAATTAACTTACACAAAAAGTCAGCAGTCTTTTTATATACCAGTGACAAAGTCACTGAGGAGGCAATCAGGGAAATAATTCCGTTCACGATAGCCTAACGTACAAAACAAAATAAAAACAACAAACAAACAAAGAAAAATTGTTGGTGTAAACCATAGGTGAAAAACCTCTCCATTCATATTTTCCATGCCTTCGATCTCACGACCTTCATTTACACTGTGCTGAAAACTGTGTTGCTTAAGTTTAGTGCTCACCACTGGATTTGTGTTGAAAAGCAGACACATATGCTCTGATCCAATAGGCATCCAGTAAAGTTGAAAATTTGTATCCGATCATTTCCAGGTGAGGCTGACATGTTTGTTTGGGGGCACCTCACTCTGGGAACAGCTAGGATACAGTGTAGTTTTCTTCCTTAATTTCTGAGTATCCATCAGATCTCACTATCCTTCTGCCTAGGCAAGGCTTTCCTGTCCTCTGGAGCAGTTCCTGGTCTTGGCTAGCATGCGTCTTCTCCTTTGAAGCCCTATTGGCATTATATTTGAACATTTGTATCTGTAGATTTTTAATGACTGAATCCACGGCAAGTCTCACAATCCACTGTTTTGGCTGGTGCTGTTCCTGTTCTGTTCCCATCCCTTGCACATTACAGGCACTAAGTGATTCTTGGTTGCATGAATAATATCGTTCCTTCCTTTTATAAGTAACTGAAAATATGTAGTAACACAAATGGTTTCAATGAATAAGATGGATAAATGGAGGAGGGGTATGGGTAGTGGAAATCAGAAGGAAGAATAAGCATTTTTGTTCACCAGGATTGAGTGTTGTAAGCAAGACACAGGTTTTTTTTTTTCCCTCCCCCATAGGGGCCTAGTATATCGTGGAAAACCCCTTCAGTTTTACCTGCAGTGATGAAGATGTGAACACAGTTCTTTCTCAGTTTGCATTCTCTGGCTCATTCATGCTCTTTCATTCTTCATGAGTGGTTAATTACCTATGTGGGTTTTATTTTTCATATGCTGCTTTGTTTTTCCTTACAGACATGGAATGTGCAGATGTCCCTCTGTTAACTCCGAGCAGCAAAGAAATGATGTCCCAAGCGTTGAAAGCTACTTTCAGTGGTTTCACAAAAGAACAGCAGCGACTGGGAATCCCCAAAGGTATACTTCTGATAGTAGGAAAAAGGACCTCTAAGACCGGATCCTTAGGGAAGACTCATTTGCTTTCCTGTAGCTAGGCTGGCTTAGATCAGTGGAATCCACTGGCTTTGATGGACACTTGCAGACATCCATGAGACACAGGGACAGATGCTCTACCCTTTCTCAGCTAGTGGTCCTAGGACAGTGTTTCCTGACCTGTCTGTACATCAGTATCTCTGGTTCTTTGAGAGCTTCTGGGATAAGCCCCAGATTAGCCCAATTCAAATTATCTTAACAGCTGCTGACATCTTTATTTTGTAAACTCCTCAAACAATTCCAACTCGCAGACAAGTTTGGAAAACTTTATTTTAGAGTCAATATGGGTGACCGTGGACGGACCCAGGGAACTGTGTTGCTTTATATTTATACTCTGTTCTCTTCCATGTACTTTGGCAAAGTATGCTTGTGCTTTGGGTGTTCCTGTCTAAAAGGGTTTACTGAGAATGGAAAGAGTCCAGAGTTATCATAAAGAAGTGAACTGTGAAATTGTCAGCTTTCCCTAGGAACGTTTCCTGGACAGTCATGAGTAGGCAAGCTATGTCTTGTTTTCCTTTTGCTTTGCTTTGTATTGATGATGTTGTTGTTAAAGAAAGTTGAAGGAAAGCTGTCTATAAATAACACCTCATCTAACTGTAAATAAAAGACTTCCAGTATGACCAGACCGAAGTGTTAGTTAGCTTCTTAGAATACATCTGTACATTTTTTCCTTCTGTTTACAACTTTACTCCAAACCTGGGTGGACCACAGCCCCGATCATCCTTTGTGGACCAGAGAAGGCAGAGCAAAGTGACTTCTGAGCCCTGGGTGTTCCAGCATCTCATGCAGTTACTTTTGGGTCAGGCATCATTTATGTGGACCTTTTTGGTGTCATTGGCAAGTACAGCTCTGTCAAACCTTAGGTCACGTACGAAGCTTGTATGTCATCACTGCTACTCAAAGCTGGGCCTGTGGTGACAAATAACAACACTTGAGTGACTTACCATTACTAATTGCTGTGATTATTGTAAAACCCGAGCGGCTAAGATAAAAATAATGGAGTATGAAAACCTCAAGTGTATTGCAGAGTCGAGAGCAGACTGAGGCACATGAAATTGTGGAAAACCATCGTTATCATTGCCATTGCAGAAGGCACGGTCCCTTATCTGGTGGCTTTTAACATTTTTAAATGGGAAATCAGTGGAAATCTTGGCCTAAAAAAAAAAAAAAAAGCAGGGAATTACTGTTGGCTGACTTTAGCTCTTCCAATCTGATGAAATAGGAAAAGTAGGGTGCTAGATATGGGGAGAAGAATCTGAGAGGTGCTGGACAAGATGCTGCTCCCTAGGTCTGAGAGTACCTAGCATCCTCAGCCCTGTCCCATCCCTTCCCTGCCTTTTCCCAGCCTGACTTACTGTATCCTCACTTGGCCTCTCTTCTCAGACCCCCGGCAGTGGACAGAAACCCATGTCCGGGATTGGGTGATGTGGGCTGTGAATGAGTTCAGCCTGAAAGGTGTGGACTTCCAGAAGTTCTGTATGAATGGTGCAGCGCTGTGTGCCCTGGGTAAAGAATGCTTCCTCGAGCTGGCTCCAGACTTTGTTGGGGATATCCTGTGGGAGCATCTAGAGATCCTGCAGAAAGGTAAGTGTGTGCAGACAGGGAGGAGGGGTTGTGTTGGGTTTCTCTAAGCTGGCTGGATGGTGGGATGCGTTTGCTGTTGCCTGTGGGTGTTTAGCCGTGGCATAGATGGTCTGTGAGGACGTGCTTGGTACAGAACCTGACACAAAGCAAGATTTCAGTATATGCTGGCTTATTTTTCTTCTATGCCTTAGGAGTTCGTATTTTAATTTTTAACAAGATTTTACTTCTTTAACATCTTGTATACAATTCATGTTATTTTCTTAAACCCATACATTATTTGAATAAAAATTATTTTAAAAAAGACAGGTGTTTCACCCACTCCATAAACTTTAATAGATATTCCCATGGTCTAATATGTATACTCTTGGGTAACAGGAGAGTATCACTTTTCCAAGCTCATTAGCAAGATAAGTTTCTCTGCCACTCCACTGGCTTGGGATTATGACGCTGTAGAATAATACCTTTTACATTTGGAGCCAAAACTAGGGTTATATCAGGACATGGTGTTGCAACCTTGTAATGACACAGCCTCCTCTACTGGCCTCTTCTAACCTTTTTGGACCAAGTGACTCATGTCCCGTAGGTCCGGCTGAGTATAGCAACAACAGCGGGCGGCAAACTTGGGTGTTTCTGTGCTTATTTGTCTAAATTTCTTCTTAAAATAAATTGCAGTTACCAGCAGTCAGCAGTGCCCTACAGCTGACTGTAAGCCTAGAAGCCTGCTGCCCTCTGTAACCAGGCCCACCCTTTCCCTGTGGTCACCAGCCTCAAGCACTAGGCACAGCCACTGGGGGCAGGGCATACAGCTCATTCCATATAAGACTTTCCTTTGTTTAGAGTATGCCTCGAACTCAGGGCTGAGGAGAGACCCAGGTCCCATTCCTCTAGTCATATGAATGTGATATGAGGTCCTGCTCCTTCACCTCAGCTTCTTGTTGAAAATGATCCATGGATGAACACAGTTAAAGACCTGGTGGTTCTTCCTGTGGCTGCTGCTACTCAGGACTGGACAACACCTGTAGTAACTGCACTGGTGCTAACCCCTAGGCACTGACATGAATGACCTATTCGTAAGAGGAAAAGAAAGGTGTGGTAGACTCCTCGAGGTCCTGGTTTAACTGCTGCCTTCTGAACACAACAGCAGGTTGCACCAGACCATGAAACCAAACATAGTCTGTCAATACAATGCTTCTCTGAACTCAGAATGGATTCCCACAGTCGGTGTACCAGGAGCTGGGGGAGGGGGTTGTAGTCTCAGTCTGTCACTCACTGGTCATGGTTCCTTCATATCCTTAGTTCCAAAGTGCTGCCAAATATATTTTCTCTTGGCGTTAGCCTCGATTAGTGATCAACACTTTAAAACGTTACTTAGTTCTTAGTCTGTTTTCATTTCACCTCCCACCCAGTATTCTTACTGTGATAATGTGTGCTCAGAGTAAGCTCTGCTACTAAGACAGGATTAGACTGTCCTGCATTTATGCAGGGGAGTACTGTCAGGGAATGGAAGTGAACTAGGGTGTAATGGAGTCTGTGTGGAGGCAAGTCCCGTTATCCCAGCCGGTGGGTGTCCCATTGCTTGAGGCAGTAAAACTGTCTTTCTCTGGATTCACCTTTCTGAAGGGATGATCAAGATGTTTGCACTCAGGACAGCGTCCCTTCTGGTCCCTTCTGTGATCAAACAGGAGCAGCATGGCAGCCAGAGAACATAGCTGCTTGGGGTGGAGCTGGAGGCCAAAGGTGCAGGGGATGTTTTAATCTGATAAGCCGCTCAAGCAGAGTATAATCATTTTATCTCAACTGGGAACTTTTTTTTTTTCTCTTTTGAGTGCAGGCATAAACTTGTTTTCCCATCAGCCTTTGCTCTCAGCAGGCTAGCAGATACCTGAGGAAAAACCTGTATCAGCAGTCTCTCTTTATGATTGAATTTTGCAAAGAAATGCAGACAGGCTCGGCTCCGTAGAGTGTCAACAGCTACTGCATTTGATTCTGGGATAGCCAGAGTACCCTGAGCCCACCATGACAGTTCTGCTCCCCGCTACACTTTCTCTTTACGTCCTTCTTGAGTCTGAAGGTAGTTGGCATCTAGGCAGTTTGGGTATGTTGCTTCTCTTACTTTACATAAATCCTCATGGTTCACTAAGCAGAATCACTTTACCAGTGCCCTGTTTCTTGTCTGGGCCTGAACTTGAATTCCCAGAACAATGAGAAAAGCAGAATATCTGCAAAAAGTGGAGGATACAAATACCTACTTACCTAAAGGCTGGAGTGTGTCCTGAAATGGTTTTTAGTTGATCGGTTTGAGTGTTAGGTACTGATCATGGTCCTTGAGACGTTCCCCAGACTTGAGCCTGAAAATTCAGTTCTCTGAAAGGAAACACCAAGACATCACCCATGAGTGCTGCCCATTTTCTCAACCCTCAGTTACTGCCCACTGGGATCTCCTCCCAAGATAAACGGACCAATCCCATTTCACAGCTACTGAAATGTTAAGCTCAGCCATACTTTTGTGATGTCATCCTGGGATAAGGCTCCATTCAGGCAACCAAGACACCAGCTCCTGTGGTGTGCTTGCAGACTTTCTAGAAAAAAAAAAGATTGAGATTATTGGGGTTCTTGTGTCTAAGATCCTTGTAGGTCAAATGTCACTTGTATATTATCTTAATTTTATTCCCTGGTATGTTTCTTACAGAGGATGTGAAACCATATCAGGTTAATGGAGTCAACCCTACCTACCCAGAATCCCGTTACACCTCGGATTACTTCATTAGTAAGTGCTGTTCTCCACTCTCCTTCCATCTCTTTATGATAGGGAATTTGGAAAGGCTCCCTGGCTTAGTTGGTCTCAGATACTTTAATAATAATCCTATAAAAAGTAATATTTTACTAATTATATTCTGGTTTTTGTTACTTATTTTATGACTTTTCAAATATTTCATCATTAATTTCATATGTGTGCTTACCAAGTTCCTGCAAATGGGAAGGAATATACCCTGAGCAGCTTTTGATCTTATTTAAATACCATGTGTGCTAGTGATTTAGAGAGGGTTGGGTTAGAGATTTGATTTTTGCCTACATGCTTTTCTTACCTATTATTAAAAATGATAGGATTTGGTATGGAATCTTTCTGGATTCCATGCATGGACCATGCAGCATCATATTCTGTTATAAAAAGTAAAACTTTATTTTTAAAGTACATGATTGCTTAGCACTATAGATATAGAGGTATCTATCCAGAGAAAAAGAGTAGCATTGGCTTCTCTGATGGCCCTGACTTCAAAGATTGTGTTAAACAGGTGTGATATATATTTTTTTAATCTTCTGGCTTATTACAGTTTTATTCCAGTGGTGACACTTACATTCACTATATATCTGGAGTTTATTGAGTGTGCCAGAAATGTTGTAGACATTGTGCATACACACACAGTCTCATTTATTCTTCATCACAGTGCTCTGAGGAACACTTAATCAGCCTTATTTTATAGATCAGTAAATTAAGGCCAAAGGGGGAAGGTATCTTATCAAGGGCTTCAGATAGCAAGTTGAACCTAAGTCCTGACTTACTCTTCTCTTTTAAGGGAGTCAGCTCACATCACATGGTGGGGCCTTGATAGGTAGTAAGAACTGCTTTTTTCAGGTACCAGCGTCTCCAATTGTAAACATTCTCCTTTCCTAGGCTATGGTATCGAGCATGCTCAGTGTGTTCCTCCCTCAGAGTTCTCAGAGCCCAGCTTCATCACAGAGTCCTATCAGACACTGCATCCCATCAGCTCGGAAGAACTCCTGTCCCTCAAGTATGAGAACGAGTACCCTTCTGTCATTCTCCGGGACCCTCTCCAGACAGACACCTTACAGACAGACTACTTTGCCATCAAGCAAGAGGTGTTAACTCCAGACAGCATGTGCATGGGGAGAGCCAGTCGTGGTAGGTCAAATTTACTTTCAGATTCCTTGGGTGTACAAGAATTACCTCAGTTCATTCATTGTTCAGGTCCCATTTTCTTCACTTATCATTCCTATATTCATCAGTCTTAGCTTTTTTTTTTTTTTGAGTGTATAGACAAGAAGACCTTTCTGCCATGGGATTTTAGCTTTATCCAACATGATGACAAAGATCTTGGGGGTCCATGATGGAACCGAATATGGCGGAGTAACGATCAAATGTGTTATTAGGGTAAAATGGTTTGTCTACATATTACTTGTAGGTGGATTTTAAAAGGTAGACTGCAGTTTCTTTAAGACAGTTTTGCTTGAGATTTTAATACTCTTGAAATTTGGCATGTGCTTTGATGTTCCTTTCAGGGTTCACCTGGGTCATACTGTAGACCCTGGCTTGGTACCTGGGATGACCCTTGATGCTCATCCAGGTAACTTAGCCACTTGTGACTACTTTGGTTTGGGAAGATACAAGATGGTTAACCAATGGTTTATTTGGAACTGGTCATCAACAGTGTGGTGAAAGTATGTATTTAGCTAGGAGACCAGGGGAAAAGGTGGCCAGAGGCTTCCAAAAGAAGGTACTCTTGTTGACAAGGCTATTATAATAGTGATAAAACATTCATTGGCAGTGAAGTCAGTGTTTCAAAATAGGTCTCGCTGACCTGATGCCCCAAAGGTAAAATGTACCTGATGTTTAAGATGAGGCCGTGAACATTCCACTATGAGAAACAGCATGTTCTGATTGTCTCCTTGCTGAGAAAAGTGAAGTCTGTTAGAAGGAGGGGCTTCTTCATCCAGGAAAAGCCCACTAGTTTCTGAAAAGCCTAGAAATGACTTTCCTAGTGGGAAAGTATTAAGACAGGCAGAGGAGGGTAGTGATTCTTGCTCACTGAATGACTGTGCTACTTGCTCAGTGGTCTCCAAAAGGGCGAGAGCCAAAGGTAGAGTAACCATGTTGCCATTGTGAGCCATCCCTGTCATGCTTTTCAATTGTGGCTCATGTTTGCTCCCAGCAAGCCTTGGGAGAGTTATCTGGCCTTGTACAGGGAAAGGCCCTGCAAAATCAGAACCCAGATCATCTTTCTTGTGCTCCTAGGTTGTTTGTGTTTCAAACCAAAGGGAATGGGTGGGACCAGGTCTGTCTTCCCCTTTCTGCCTGTCTTATTTTTGGGTATGTGTCTATTTAAATACATACCCTCAAGTGTATGTATCCGTGCACTTCTTCTTAAGCAGAGTGACGCCTCAGTGCCATCTTCTTCCTCGTGAGGCTGTCTCTCTGTATATTTAAGGAGACCGAGTTGTGGGTTTGGGGTTCGGCTATGTTGTAAATCTGTGTAGCTCTGTAATCATATCATTTTACAATTGTGGCTGGTTTTGCATTTGTGGAAATGCCCTTCTGTCCCTTTCCTCTTCTTGGTTCTTAGGTCCTCACTCCCCCTTCAAACCCTAACTAATGATTATAAACCCAAACTGATCCTTACCGAAGGATGTGAGGTATTTCTTTGTGGCTCTAATGTCGTTCACCTCCTCCAAGCTCAGGCCACAGACTTAAGGGGAAGAACAGCTTGTGTAAGCCTGATTGCTGTGTGGTAGATGTGCAGTAACACGGCTGGCCAAAGGGCCATTGATTCTGACTGTTGTGATTGGTCTAGACTGAGGACATTACTGTTAGCTGACTATTAATAATCGCAGTATTCAGATGCTGTGTTATAGTATACAAAGTACTTCTCTGTCCCACTTAATTGAGCTCTAAGGCCTGTCTTTGTGTAAGTCTTTTCTGTGGGTGGCTGTGGGGCTACCCTTCTACTGTTCAGAGTGCTGTTCGGTGGACTCAATTAGCTTTGGAAGGACCTTACAGAGACATTTCTTAGAAAAGGTGGTCAGTGCTAGTCTTGGGGATGCATGCCTCCCGGATTGAACAGGGAAGCAGGACCAAGTGTCTAATCCTTTTGGAGTCAAGTCAATGTTTTGGGGAAAATACCCGTTAATGAAGGCTTCCAGCTCCAGGGTTGTGAAATAGAACTAAAACGAAAGCTGCACCCTGCTCTAAACCACAGTCTGAACGGAGAGGCATCTGGTGAGGCTGCAGAAGAGTAATGATGCCTACTTTAGCACTTACACTAAATAAAGCCCTTTTAGCTCCTGGCCCTCCACATAAAAAAATGGCTGAAGAGATAAGAAAAATTGCAAGAGACTGAGGCATAGGGAATACCTATATATGGGTGACTCAGAGGGCAGGCCATCCTTTGAGGAAACATGTGTTTTCTTCCTTAGGCTTTTGGTGTATTTGTGGTAGAGTGAAATGGAATGCCGGTTGGCATTCACAGCTAGTAGGAGAACACACCTTTTATGAGATACTAGGGAAGTTTCTGCTCTGCTAAGAGGCCTGTGTCATTCCATGTGGGGGCTGGTTTCTTGAGACATTCAGTGTAATAGAATGGAACTAATGTGGTAGAGGCTGGACCACTTGCTCTTCAGGCTCTTGATTTGCTTTCCTAACATTGCCTTCTTTTGAACAGAGGGTAGAGTGAGATATGACATCTCTGTCATCAGCAGTTCGGGAGGGAGCAGAGGGGCAGAATGTTCACTGCAGACATACTTTTTTATCTGGGATTTTTTTTTTTAATTTTTAGAACAATCTCTTCCCCTTGTATTTGCCTTTGACTTGGGAAGCTGTATATGTCTGAATATTACTTACTTGACCAATCCACAGCCAGAAGCACACTGATGTGGTTAGATAAGACACTCTACGTCAAGGTTTAGCCAGCTTCGCACAGTTGAGAATTGATTTGAGGACATTTCTGCAGACGCTTTTCTCACGTCTTTCCATCATCTCTTGGCTCATGTTGGGAAGGAGTGGCCATCCCATCTCCTGAGGTCCCCCTCGAGCTGCCTGAGAAGCAGCTGATCGTTGGACATAGACACAAATGTTCCTGGGGTTTTTGTAGAACTTCAATGTTTTATGCTCCCCTTAAAGTTTCCTCGTTAGCCCCCCTTTCACGGCATTTTTACCGGTAGAGACGACTTCAGGAATGCTTGCACAGCCACAGCAGCTGTTTATAATAACCTGGTTTGGGAGATGAGTGAACTTGCACGATCGATCGTGTGCTCACAGTTCTGAGTGCCTTAAGCAACTCGCACAGTGAAGGGTTTCTGGCCCTGCTCTGGGCCCCCACTCCTCAGCCATCCCTTCTGCTTCTCCTGGAGCATGAATTCCAAGTTCTAAACCCTACTGCAGAGAGTAATTCATATGGTTTACTGCCTACAAGAATGACTGAGCCTTGATGGGTTTTGTTTTACTGTCCCTGAAGACACCCCATAACTTCTTGAGAGGTCATAAAGGAATGGCTTAGTATTTGGGGAGAAAGTACCTAAAAGGGTAATGCTTTAGTTCCAAGGTTAAGGGAGGCCAATCTGCCCTTAGTCTAATGGAATATTTTTCCTCATGATCAAAATATTTTGCCAAATTGGGCCTTCTGAAATTAATTATTTCATTAGCTGGAATTAAAAAAAAAATCAATCTGACAGTGTTCTGTTTTTTTTTTTTTTTTGGTCCATTAACTCATTAAATCTAATGTATTAACCAGAAATCTCATGATAAGTAGCACTCCAAGCTTCTGTATTTCTGGCTTTAGAGTTCTTGAGGTTCTGTCCTCATGACAGATCTGAAGGAGTAGAACCCTACTTTGGTCACTATGCTAGGAACTGTAAGCCAGATAGTGGCAGCAGCTCTGCTGTTGTGGCCAAGCCAACGTCCTTTCCCATAGTGTAGACTCAGAACTTACGGGACTCCTGTATCCCTGGACCCCCTCTCTCTCTTAATCCCTCTTCAGATCTAATTAGCAATCTGTCCTCCATAAGAGGGATTTTACAGCTGTTTTTTCCCAACCCCTCTTCCCTGCCCTCTTCCTACCTCCTCCTTTACCTCCAGGTAAACTCGGGGGCCAGGACTCTTTTGAGAGCATAGAGAGCTACGATAGTTGTGACCGCCTCACTCAGTCCTGGAGCAGCCAATCATCCTTCAACAGCCTGCAGCGTGTCCCCTCCTATGACAGCTTCGACTCTGAGGATTATCCCGCTGCCCTGCCCAACCACAAGCCCAAGGGCACCTTCAAGGACTATGTGCGTGACCGTGCTGACCTCAACAAGGACAAGCCTGTCATTCCTGCTGCTGCCCTGGCTGGCTACACAGGTAGGCACCCAGCCCCTGTCTAGGTGGCTAATTGCATGTTTCCATGGGCCGGGTCAAGTGTAAGGCACAGAGACCCAAGGGCATCCCTTTTTCTTTTTGTGAAGAGTAGATGTTTCTGAAGGGCCTTTCATGTCAAGCCATTCTGCTTGTGACAAGCCACTGATTTTTGGAATTATCGTTCTACCTCCAGGGTTCATTTTTAAGAGTTGTAGGAAATTTTACTTTTGACCTTCTTTCTATCTGGGGAAGGAACCTGTGATGACTGGGAGTTTCTAGAAACTGCCTCATGGGTAGTATGGAGGGACTTTTGCTGGCCTGCTCTGGGGATACCTTTTCAAATATAAAACCAGAGCTGTCTTTCTCAAAGGCAGAGTTGAATGATCTTCATGCTGGAGAGTTTCATGGTATGGTTATCATGGCAACCTGCTGTTTGAATTTAGGAACAGTGTTCTAAGTCCTATCCATTCTGGGTTTCCATAGCAAAACACTTAAAAACAACAGCAATAATAACCACAACAAAACAACTACCACCACCACTACTACAGTTTATGATTGGTTTTCTTCCAGGTGTGAAAGCTATAATTAGATTAGTAGTGATATCAGAAAGAACCCAGAGAATGGATGAAGTTCACCCAAGCTAGGGCTTTGAAAAGAGAAGCTGACAGTAGAGCCAAACAGTTTACTGTTCCAGTGAGCAGCAGCTCATAGGTACTTTACCCTGGAGCTTGGTAGTAGTTTGAGAAAAATTGAAAAACACTGAATAATAAAGGTGCTGAGCATCAGATCCTCTCTGTAAGATTGCAGTGTTTTCAAGGTTTACAAAGCACATTTGAGAAGAGCCTAGGTTAACGTTTGTTAGTCAGACGTTGTTTAGTGCCATCCTCTTAAGATGTCGTCAACTGGACAGGCGAGGGCTCTGTGTGACTGAAGAGGGACAGCAGAGATGGTGTTTCTGTTGACATAACTGATTTTTTTTTCAAGTGGGCCAAAGTAGTCTTGGGATTTTTCTGAAAATTAACTGATTTTTAAGAGCAGAATTTATATACTTAGAAAAATTACTCCTCCTTTCAAGATCCAGAGTATATTCTCTATATTGCATTCCACAAAGACCCTACTACTAGGGCAGTCACTGTATCAAAGAGTACCCAGGAGATACAGCTATGATTGGGTGTGGCAGCAAGGACCATATGTAGAATCATGAGAAAAAGACAAACTTGAAGTCCTTCTTTTTTAAATATCTAAATGCCCTTTAAAAAAAAAAAGATATTAGTAGGGGGGACTTGTGACATTTTAAGAGGATCTTTTCCTGTTTCTGGAGAGGAGATTATTGGGAAATTTACTCATTTTCATTGAAGATATCTGAGATGAGAAAAAGTACAAGAAGTCTTTCAAAGTATAGAAGAATGGAAGCTGTTGCAATTGAGACTAGATTTCTCCATCTGGATGCAGTGATGGAATGGGGAGGGGAGAGAGCTGCTTAGAAGGGGGGGGGGAAGGCCCGGGGTAAAAAGGCCAGGGTAGTGCTCGGATGATTGATTCTTGTTTGAAAGTTGTTTGATAGGGTCTTCTCCTCCTTCCCTCCACCTCCCTCCCTCCCTCCTTATTTCCTTCCCTCCCTGCTTCCCTCCCTCCTTCCCTTCTTCCCTTCCTCCCTCCTTACTTCCCTGTCTCTCTCCTTCCTTCCCTCCCTATCTCCCTCCCTTTCTCCCTCTGTCCCTCCCTTCTTCTCTCCCTCCTTCTCCCCCTGGGATAAGGGATTAAAACAGTCAGTGAGGAGAGGAGTTGGGAAAGGTATCATCACTTCACTTTCTCAAAGACTAAGCTCTTCAAATTGAAAAAAAAAAATTAAGGCATGTCCACATTGAGATTCTGTTTCTTTACAATTATGGATTTAACTTTTTCAGACTCAAACGGTGGTGAGAACAATAGACCAGAAAACAGAAGTTCTCTGAGCTCCCTCCCAGGTCTAACACACTGTGTGATTTTAGGCAAATTTACCTTGTACCTTTTTTCTACTTTAGTGAAGTAGAACTGTTCACCCTTATCCCGACAGTGGGGGGACGTGTGAAAACACAGTTGAACCAAATTGATTAATTAAATGAGTGCTAGACGTTGTGCTAGACATGCTGAGAAGAAACCCATACTTGTAATAAATTGATTATTTCAGCAAATGAGCACCAACTGGGTGTGAGTAAGACACTCCCCCACCCTTCTCACCCAGAGGCTGTCTTATCCAGTTTATTCTAAATGTCCTTAGACTTGAACTAGAATCTGTTGTTGCTGCAGTCCAAATAAAGGTTGGGACTTGTTAGGTGTGTGATAGCAGACCACAGTTTGGCTGTCCCCTCCCCCCCTCCCCCCTCCCCCCCCCACAACCCCTGTGAGCTCTATTTCAGGGAACACTTCCTGCCTCCACCACAGGCTCTCTGAGCCTGTGACCTGGTGGCCCCTTCTCAGAAACAGGGATGAACAAGGCATGGGATGCATCTGTCCTGTGTTGTCTCTTACCTGAGGTGACAGTGAGAGTGTCTGAGAATGGGAGTCTAGCTTCATGCAGGCGTGTTAGGATAAACTGACTTTCGAAAAGTCCTTTGGAAAGTGGAAATCGCTAGGTAACTGTTGGCAGTGCTTTTGACATGTATATAATAAACATTGCACTCGTTTTCTCTCTCTGGTTCTGACTCCTTTCTGTCCTATAATTCAGTTGCTGCAGCTTGTGCGTGACCTGCAATGAGAGCTCTCAGACTTCTGCACCATGGCTGCCTGGCCTGGACTGCATACATGTGCTTACCATGGCTG